TATATTCCCATAATTTTTGACGCGCGAAGTAGTCACCACTTATCACCGATTTGGGGATTTTGTTAATTATACTTGAGTGGCTACACCGTATCAGGTCTACTTTTATTATAAATGACTATGTTTTATGTTTATGGGTTTATGCATCTTCTGCGACTGATACACTTAACTGTGGCGCTTGTGCATAATGGAAACATTCTTTTGCTTTATATCTGTTCATTCCTCTCCAAGGCACTTGTCCAACAACTTCGCTTGACCTTAGTTATTTGCTTCCAGGTATTAAATTTTTGAAACTAAGGCAACCCTTCGTTCGTCTCTCAGTGAAAGGTCCGAGTCACATCTATGTTTAAAATATCGATACTATTAGGAAATCTTTATTTTCTGAAACACGTTACTGTTATCTATACAAGAAGGTAATGCGATGAACTGGCGCTTTGCCAATAACGTTGATAGGAAATAAACAAAAGTACAAATGTAAGCAACGCACCTGTTGCCGGAAAAAGTATGACTTGGAAAAAGTTAGGCGCATTTTTTGCACGTTTGCTCGTAAAATCCTAATTGTGAAGATTCAACGAAATTGCCCAAGTTATTTCATGGAGATTAAATAATCATAGCAATACTCCATTATCAATAATGCTGAATAAGACGTAATTGAACAGAAACAATATTATAAGAAGCTATATGTTACCATGAGTACTGTATGACAAGTTTATTTAGGAAATTTCACCGTTTGCTATCGTTGTCAACGCTTGTGTTTATCTCCAAAACGGTTCCTCATTTAATAACCGTACAACGCTGGTTTCACCTTACATCTACAGAGCTCGGCCTTCTGAAAAATAACTATACGTATGTAAGCATTTATATACATGAATCATGCGGTTCGAAAGTAGCTGCTTTCAAATAAAATGGTTCGTATTGGCACTGTTTGTGCAGGCTAAGAGAGCAGAGTATTGTTGAACATAGCTGGGCTAATCCTAGCAACATATAAAAATAAAAAAAGCACTTAATACTTACAATAGAAACACAGCAGACTTTTTGTCGACCTTTGCGCTTTCAAAATCGACCAGCTTTCCTACCACCAACACGAAGTTTGGACTATCACCATGCTAATGAACGTAAACACAACACTACAATGATGGTAAAATGATCTCTGCTATTCGAGTGCACGCGCGAAATTTTGAAATGATACAAAACTGGGTGAGGCTTAAAGCATGATATTCTGTGCCAAAAACATAGAAGTATTCGCGAGGTATTCATCTTCCTATCCTGAGGAAAATACCACTATCACCAAGTCGCTGGTTCGTCATTGGATTCAGAAAAAATTAAGTGCTTACAGAGTTGTCTATTCTGACAAACGATACAAAGAAAGTGACGAAGTACGCAAATGCTTTGCATATTCAGCTTTCAGTAAGCTCCGGTAATGAGCACTTAGAAATGTAAAAACGATGGTCATTTTGATATCTTTCAATCAGAAAATAACAGAATTATGTTAGTAAGCGCTCAATCGGTGGCTTTTGATTAACTTGCTAACGTTATGAAAGGTATCAGAAAAATTTCCGAACGCAAAAATACGTTCGAAAACATCCCAGCACATAAATCTACCCTCAGTTTTATTTGGGTACATCACTTTTTGCGTGTGGTTTTGGAAAAATTGATTAATTTTTTTAACGATTATTACCGACAAACACCTGTTTCGATTACAAGGTAAGTTACCCACGTTGTTTCCTTCGATAAATGGACATATTTTTATTATTCGATCAAAGCATTGCCTAGTTAGATATAAATACTGGATATGAATTATTACGCCTCAATGCGAATGGGGTAAAAACTTTGGGTACAACCTCTAGTAAAACTGTATTTTCCTTAAGATCGAAAACAAACCTTTTAAAAAATTCTGAAATTGTCTATTGTTTCAATTTCATTATCGTACTTCTGCCTTATTTACCATAACTACAAAACAAGCCGAAAGGATTGACATCAATTTAACTCAGTATTGTCTCAATCATCAGTGCTACGACTTGTGTGCATTTGTGACCCTGGTCGCTAAACGCACGGATTTGGACCTGCTGAGATCAGTGCGCGGCGTCATCATTGTTTATTTTTCTATTTCTTCTTTTTAAAAGTACCTCTGACAGAGGAAGATAACGAAGCGAAACAGCGTGACGGTCCTATTGAAATGATAGGGGTAGGAATCCAATGGCAGATTGTCTTGGCAGAGTGAAGTGAGACCGAAGAAAATGAGTTCTGCCGGTACAACAGTTATTTCGCCTGCCGAAATAAGTCATTCGCAGGTACACTATAAACAGCCTAATTCTAATTTTCAACTACTTATCTAGAAGTCGTCGTCGACCAGGAAAGCCCTGCATGATTTTCTTGGAGCCTCGTAAAAATGTTTACATATAATAAAACATCTTGAAGAGATTTGTGAGATAATTTTTCCATGCAATTTACGTGAGCTATGTGTTTCTGTAATACAAGGATCCCGTTGTACAGATGAGTACGTACATTTTATTCGGAAGTTGTTTATACAAATGTTGTAACTGTAACACAAACACTTTTGGTGGAACTTGCGAAAAAATGAATCTACTGCAGAATGCCTCTGCATGAACGTGTATCATAAAAGGCGAGAGTTCTGAGTTTCTCAATACTGGAGGCGACCAGTACTTCTTTTCGATGTGATTTTGACGGTTGTCGTTATGCGCCAAATTTCGACTCTTTCTTGAAACCTGGAAACCTCTTTAATATAATTCATGTATCGAACCAGTAGATCAGTTGAATATGCATAATAACTATTGCCAATTACTAGGCTTTACTTAATTATATATATATATATTTCTTTCGAAAAAACTAGCGATCACCATGATCAGAATACGGGCTAGTACCCTATGTAATTGCACCAATATAAAACCATATATATTGAAATTCAGGCTACGGACAACTAGAAATGCCTTGTGATAAATGTTATGCTTTTAAAATCATACCTTCAAAAGATAGACTGATGCCTTATGAAAAAGATACCCATGAGCTATCTCTTCCTAGCTGGAGCTAGGTGAATACTCTCTTCGAACTGGGCGTGGTTCCTGGAAAAGCATCAAAAATAAATAATCAAATTGTTACTTTTGGTTCACATTGCAGCTTAAGGATGAGCCGACTTCTCACAGCGAGTTTATTTCTGTAATTTCCGATCAGTTAAGCGATGCTCAGCGCGTACTGGCTCGATGTGAGAAGCTGCCTGCTACAGCGGGCACCGGCAAGCTTCGGAGAAAGGTCCAGGCTGAAATCCGGTTTTACAATCAGTGCTTAAAAGGACAAGTTAAAAAGAAGAGTCTTGCTGGGAACAACCTTCGTAAGTTACTACCTTTACATTGAGATTTTTCGCTGATATGTTCGTAAGGTAGATCCTGAGATTTCTTCAAAAATGCCACGAAATAACTTAGTTATCGACAAACAAATTCTCATTATTGTCTTTCCCGAGTTTTTTTGTTAATTTGGCTAAAACTGTCAAGACTATCAACTGAGACTCATCAGACACAAAAATGTTTGTTTTTTACGTCAATTAGATTTCGGTGGGCATATTATTTTGAGATATAATGGGGCAAGATGAAATGCTTGTCTATAGGGTCTGTAAGCAGACGCATTTAACAAGAAAAGCCACTTTTAGTTCTGCCAAATATACTTTTCAAAATGTACATACAAGAAGATCTCGGTTTGATTCACAGTATATGTATGTTTAAGTATTATGGAAATGGTTTCGGTTTATATCGTTGACAGCGTACTTGTCATTGTTAACCGAATGCGCCTTGCGAGTACCGGGCTTCCAGGATGTAATGAAACCGTTCTCCTTTCCTAACTTCAACTCTGAAAATAAAAGCGCGGTCGCAAATGAAGACTGGCTTGATCGGCCGGAGCGGATCGTGGTCGACGTTGTTGCGGATGGGGGCCGTTGCTGGATCAAAGTCGCCGCCAGAAATCCTGAGGCGCTTCTCGCTTCAATGTTGGGTCAGTGGGGACTATTTTCATTGAGAGTTCAATACTAAGAGAGGTTTCAGTTAGGTTTCTAGCTAAACCTTCAGCGAGTATTTCTATTGGGCACATTATTTGACCAAGATCATTGCAAATGGAACCGATTCAAGTTTCTACATTTATAGAGGCGATAATCGTGATGAGCGCATGATTATTTGAGACTGATAATGAATTTATCCTAGCTATTTCGTGTGAACGTGGTACGTAAACTGCTATTGTTTCAGGTGACGGTGGATACGGACGTCGCACTCTGCTGCACCAGATACGGGATATGCTTGCATGTGCAAGGTACCACCCACACCTTTACGCATCGCCTGAGGTTAAGGTTCTTTTCGCCTGTTCACAACTTGTCCCAGAACAACTGATTCGAATTGTCGAAACGGCAGGTGCTAAAGTAATAACCATCGCTCGAACCGACAGCGGCGTCGACGACAGGTGAAACCTAGGTGTTGCATCACTACATATCGTCATAAAGAACGTTGATCTCATCCTTTGTGGCTAACTCTAAAGAGCACTACTTGTAGCAAAAATAATACTTTATGCAGTTCAACAGATACGGCCCTGTATGTTATCTGTAGTTGCCATTGAGTAATCTTTTCCATTAAGCAAAAAAGTATTTGGATTAATTGTTAATTCGCCTATTTAGATGATTGCATTACTCTTGTGAATCCCTAATGGTTGACAAGTCGTTTACGGATGCGTTTGAAATTCCTTATTATTACAGCGGAGATCTCATAACTCGTGATAACTCGATTTTTCGAGCTTTGCGACTCGAGGAGGTACCCGAGAACGCGGTGTTGAACCTGGACGTCTCATCAATGATAGCCTATGTTTCAGCGCTCACTAACGGACGCGCAAACTTTCGGTCAATACTCGGAGAAGTTATGCTTCAGTATCCCGATTCAATGTGTTTTTTCAACATGCACTGATTGATTAATCTGCATGTACCAATTTTCTAAATTTGATTACAACTTCAGGGCAGGGGTGGCGTATCTGCAAAGGACGTCGTATCTATTTCGACAATTATTTTAGTTCATTTGGATAATCCTCTCATTTATTCTTTACGCAGGACAATGATTTATGCTATTTAGGTAATAAAACATGATATGTAGTGTTTCACATAGAGCGCTTTCATTGAAAATAGGTGCTGATGTCGTCTTTTGTCACGGTTCTCGTAATTATCTCAGCAATATTTCGCCCGAACGAAACCTAAACCGATGTTAAAAAGAGAGCATACCTATTCGCAGCTTTTAAGTAAACGTGTCTATAAATTTCCTTAGGAAATTGTATTTCTTACTAAAATGCCTCAGTCATTACAAGCGCTCCTGAAAATGGAACAAAATTATAGTAGTACTATATATGAAAACTCTGAAATCAGATTCAGCCATTTTTCCATAAAGTCTGTTGCCTTTGATGCTGATTTTTGTCACTTGATAGGTTTCAGGAAAATATCCTGACAGAGCAAGCTGAAAGCGAACGAATCGAGCCCGTCAAGCCTGTCCTCAAGACGCTCTTCTCGTCTAGAAAACTTATCTGTTGTCAGAGCGCTTATGACGTAAGCATTAGTGTAATACTGTTCGACATTTATAGACAAAAGCTCAACGATTATGTATTCTAGTGGATCTTCATTGAAATCTGAACAGGTTTACCAAATCAATGTACTTATAAATAATTGAGCAACGACTAGTTGATGATTATTACTCAATGAATCTTTGCCGAAATGTCTGTGGTTGCATCATTTTAGGATTTCAAACAAATCGCGAGCGTAATGGCGGGTCCAACGGAGGATGCAGCTACGGTGGAGCTGTTAAAACTTCTCGAAGTTGTGCCGGATGAGCCTTCACAGAAAACATCGGATCTTGACATGAAGGGGAAAATTAAAAAACGACCTTTAGTTATCTTTGGTAAAGTTCTCATTTTCAAACATTGAAATAGAGACTGAACAAAGTTAATGTTTACTGTCCAAACGTACAACATAAATATTTACGTATATTTGCAGAAAAAGAAATTCCATATATTGTTATCATAGTCTTCCATGATCAAAATTAAGTTATAACCAACCGTTTTCCTCTTCTTTCTATGTTGATATTATAATTGAATTTTCGGTCGGTTGCTTTGAGATTTGTTTCGACATATATTTTAATTAAATATATAGGGTTTCTTCATATATGGAGATTATTAGCTTCGTTGATTTTCTGCCTATTCCTTTTGGGCACTGCACAATATTTTACGAAGCAGGATTCTTTTCGATAGGCGGACGCTGAAAATATGTTCGAGTAAGTATACACTACCTCAGAAGATAAAGTTTGGTCACAAAAGCATAACATCTTCATTAATTTTTATTCCATGCAGGTACTGGGGACACTCACAAGGCTGTAACGATTACGGCCAACATTGGTTTCCTGCGGGCTGCAGCTGGTCAGGGGGTTCATTTCGTTGCATTCGTTCACCCCTCTCGAGCCCTCACCGAGAACAAAGAGATAACAGCTGTAGCCCTCTGATATCATACGGACTGTCTTATTTGGAGAAGCTCTGCGTCACAGCTGAAAAGTTGGAACAACAAAAATAATGATCTTATTTGCAATAAAAAATGGCCTCCCTAAAATTCGAATGGCCTACTGATAGCCCTTATCTTAATTATTACTTACCTAAATAGAAATGTGTGCAGATCCATAAAAGACCTTCTTACGTATCAATGACGTAATACCGAAGTTATATCAGCTTTACCTTGAAACAGCGTTAATCGACATATTAGTACATGCTGTACATGCTGTATGTCCAAAGTTTCTGAAAGTTAAACTAAAGCATTCAAAGCTATTTACGTTTCGATTTGTATGCAGTAACTTAGGTGGATGTCAAGGACTTCACATGTTTCAGCAGCTTTACATATATTCATCGTGCATTGCTAACGGCCTTGAGTTCACGGCGATTACGCTTCTATTTGCATTCAACAACAGTGTAGTTTGGAGGCAATGTGGCCTTTTTTA